TAAACCGCTTAGAGAGGCCTGAAAGGCCTATGAAGCGGTATATAAGTCTACTGCTATTGCTATTGCTATTTCTTTTCTGATCACTTTTTGTTTATTTAATGTTTTAGGGCTTTAATCTCTCCTACTGATTATTTCTCACACTTTACAGTTTTCTCAGATATTAATGAAAAAAAGGAAAGTTCTACCATGATAATTCTCTATAGCTGTCTTACTGGTCTTTTGGGAATACTTGGATTTTCACTTTCCATCTATCTCTGGAGGTTCTGTGGAAGGTATGTATACCAAGTTTTAATTTAAATCAACTCATGGTTCTTTCGTTATTTATCGGAGTTGATCACGGCAACATTTGTGGGAGTAGAGGCATTGGCAAGATGGCAGGCAGAGCATTGCAATACAAGCAATTTAGAACCCACAGAAAAGAAGCAGAGCTTGTATCATGTCACTCTGTCTTGCAGACACTGCGGGAACGCTATGAACATCAGCTGGGTCTACAACTGCAGTAGTGAAACCATTGCACTTTGAATGCTGCAGTGTTGCTTGTGCAATGAAATGTAGAATGAGGGGGAAAACGAAAGGGGAAAGAGTTATGGCAGAATGATGGTAATTCTAGAGCAGGAGATAGGACTCAGAACACGAAGGAAGTGGTAAACTGTCCCTTCATTTTAACTCTGCAACCTTGCATCTTTTCTTATGAGGAAAGTATGGTTAAACTGAAAAGATACTGTGTTGTAAGTGGTATAAATTTGAAGTGCCTTTTCTTAAAAATTGAACAAAACTTATTTGCGGGTGGCATTTAATGAGAAGGGGATCTGACTATTTTCCTTCCTCCTCCTATCATAGCAGCAAAAGAAAAATCCCTGCAACTACAAATATAGAAACAGTTTCAGAACAAACCATCCAGGTAAGACCAAGGAAACAATAATTGATCTGTTTCAAACTGGCCTTTAATTTTTTTTTTAAATGATTTTTGCATTGTAAAGCTCACAATAACTTTTAGGAAGATTTACCTGTGCTTGTCATCATATTAAGATGCAGAGAGAAGGCTATTAAATATCTTTAATAATTAATTAGTTAATTTCAGTACTTACTTAGATTTATTGTACATTAATTTCAATCACAATTTGTTTATGCCTTGACCGAGCCATCTTTTCAGAATACTGTGTCTAGCAATCCCGTTAAAACAGATAAAAATCACTCTTGGCTTGAAAACAAAGTACCATTCCCTACTTATGGCTGGCAATATGGCAATTCTAATACCAAAGCCTAGAGCTGCTGAGTCACATCCAGCTCTGTGAGTTGCAAGCACTACAGTTTCAGTCAATAGAATACTTGTAGGTACAAAGGCCTTATCTGATGGACCACTGAAGGTGAGATACAAGAAAGGAAGCTGTAAAGCTTAAGATGCAAGCTCCTTTTCTGAGTCAGAGATGTACAGTTAGTCCTCGACTTACAACATTTCATTTAGTGACCGTTCGAAGTTACAACGGCACTGAAAAAAAATGACAATTTCACACTTATGATTATTGCAGCATCCTCATGATCACATGATTTATATTTGTATGCTTGACAACTGACTGTATTTGTGATGGCTGGAGCACCCTGGGGTCATGTGATCATCTTTTGCAACCTTCTGACAAGCAAAATCAAAAAGGAAACCATATTCACTTAACAACGGTGTTACTAATTGAACAACTACAGTAAAATAAGTCAAAACTCACACAACAAATTTACCATTTAGCAACATACATTTTGGGTTCAATTGTGTTGTAAGTCAAGAACTACCTGTAGTGGATTGTAGGCACCATGCAAAAACAAGTATTTGGCAAGATGATGTTCTTTCCAAAGCAACAAGGAGACACAAGCTTACAGTTATGTTAGTAAACATCATGCTTAATTATTATGGCATGTTTATGAGCTATTTTTTAGACATTCTTCTTAACATTCCCTCCCATTCCTCCTTCCTTTTTAATGAAACATCCTTTATTTAATTCTTGTAACAACTTTTAAGTTTAAATGCAGAATCTGATATGTTTTATCAACCCAAGTTTCATAAAGGAAATAAGTGCAACAAGCAATCAAGGCTGAATAATCAACAGCAAGCTTTAAAAGAATCTGCTTCCTGTTAAATGAATTGTTCAAGCTATTAATATTTATTGACATCTTAGTTTTATCCATCTTATCCTTAATTTACGGTTTGAGTATTTTATAGATTAGTTATATAGGCTTGACTCCCTGCTGTTTATCATAATTAGTTAGACACTTGCTGATACATTCTAAGAATTAGTTAACATCTTTCTTTGAATAAATGAATACTTTTGTCCCATCATCAATACTTCCAAATGGAATGTAGCCATATACTTTTATTTATGCTTTATAAATATGATGTCAAGCATGCCAAGTCTTTGTGTTTCTTAAGCACATTATTTTCTTAAGCACATAATAATTTCAATATTTTCACTCACTTTTAACAGAATAGTTTGCCATTTCAATTATATTACAGCCATTTTATTTATTAAAAATGTTTGATTTACAAAGGAATTAATTCTAAACACTTTTTGAATCTCTATTAATTCATCTGCATCAAAATCCAAATAATTTTTATATTTTGTCTTTTCTTATTGTCAAGTAAGCTTTCTCTTCCAAAATCTTCTTATAATTAAATATTTGCATTTCCTTGTTTTCTGTAAACAGTTTTTGCATTTTTTTTCTTTGCTATGCTTCAATTTTTGTTGGATAATGTCATCATTTTTATTTCTCTTACTTTTTCTTACTTACCTCCATCTGATTTGAAAGAATAGCTTTTAACTCTTTCATTGTAGACAGCGAAATATCAATCTTGATTCCTACTGACTTTTTTCCTTTTTCTCTCCATCCAATTTGGAAGTTCTTGCAACCAGTGTTTTCCTGCTCATCAATAATCACTGGTTTCCTGCTCACTAATAATCATTTGTTTCCTGCTAATTAATAATCACTAATATTCACCAATTATCAATAGCGATGCCCTTTAGAACAAACAAAAAGAAAATCAGATAGTTATACCAATAATACCTCTTCAACCAACAGGACAGTATTTGAAATAACATATAATATGGACCCCAATTTAATTTTTATATATAAGCATACAAGCAGAGAATAATAAACAGTTTGAACAAGCTATAAATGTAATGCACAATAATAACTTGAAATTAGTACATGAAAGCTGTTAAGATGCTGCTTTAATTTACTTAATTAATGTTATGTGCTGAAGTTTCTTCAATACGTTTACTTCCTGATCAACTCTGAATGCTGGATTCAACTTTTTTCAGTTTAGTTATTCAATCAACATTCTCACCTTTACCACAATTTATGCTTAAAGCATACCCACAATAGCAATCAGCAAAGTTTCTTACTAATCACTGCCATAATAATAGAAACTGTATTCTATTAGAAAAGGAGTACCACAGCAAGTTAAAACTGGTGGGCACAGTACATACGTAAATCTATCCTCCAGTGTTTTAATTATGTTATCAATCATACATAACTGAGCCCTGATGGTGCAGTGGTTAGAATACAGTATTGCAGGCTAACTCTGCCCACAGTCTGGAGTTCAATCCTGATGGGACTTGAGTTGACCCAATCTTCTATTCTTCTGAGGTCAGTAAAATGACCCACATTGTTGGGAGCAATATGATGACATTGTAAACTGCTCAGAGAAAGCTGTAAAGCATCTTTGAGTGATATATAAGCCTACGTGCTGTTGCTGTATTTTTTCCTTTTTCTCCATATAAAAAAAATGAAAAAAAGTAAAACTTGTTTCTAACAGCAATACTGGACTGTTAGATGACTGGGCTGTCTTCCAAAATAAAATCCCCACAGGCTATGAGGATTATGGTCTACTTTTACTTTAATTGAACCTAGTTACAATCTTAGATAACAAGCAAAGGGTTCACAGCTTAACTCTTGTCTCTAATTCCGAAAGGATCTTCCCTATTCCTCCAGGCCTGCCATCCACTGTAGTTAATCTGCCATTAGTAACACAAAGCACTGTGACAGAAAATAACAATTGGAAGACTTTTTACGTTTAAAAGATGTTCTAGTATCGTGATGGCGAATTTATGGCTCACATGGCGGAAGTGGCATGCAGAGCCATCTCTCTGGGCATGCAAGCCATTGCCTGTTGCTTTTCTGAGTTCCAGTGCGCTGGCCAGCTGGTCTTCACATGTGCGGGAGCACCAGAAACTGGAAAGGTAGCTTCTCAATGGGTATGTGCACACTGGCCAGCTGGTCTTCCGGTTTCTGGCACACATGTGCGCCAGCTGGCCGGTTAAGTTGTAGAGGAATGTCAACTTACTGGACTGGCCAGCTGGCCTTCACGCACGCATGCATGCCAGAAACCGAAAGATTAGATAGCTGATGCGTGTGCTGGAAACCGGAAGATCAGACGCCTGGCGCGCACATGTACACTGGGCAGCTGCTCTTCCGGTTTCTGGCACATGTGCACACACACATTCTTCTGTTTTGGCACGGTGCCAAAAAGGTTCACCAACATTGTTCTAGTATCTTCCAGTAAGGTGGCATTTTCAAAGTTTTCTACAACTTAATTTCAGGGTAGCTATACTTTCAAATATTCCAAACAAAATTGCTTTTAGATCTGAGAATACTAGGATTAAAAAGGAATGAAAGAAAGAATAAGCCTCTTTTGGTAAAAAAGAAAAAAGAAAACAAAAAGAAAACAAAACAAAATTGAAATGTTTATGCTATTACCCACACTATGTAACTATGCTTGTTCATAAGGTGTGGGGGTGTAGTTTTGTAGGGCTGGAGGATGTTTAATAAGAAGTCAAAATGTCACCTGTGTTATAAAATATGGATTCAATAACCAATTACAATGATTAGTATCTCAGTGTGTTATGTAATGCAAAAATCCAATCTTGTAAAGGTGATTTATGCCTTATTGTTCCCATCAGGGATAAGTGTAATATAAATAGTATATATAAAATGAAAGAAAAAAATAGACAGTGTTATTAATGCTTCCTTTTTAAAGTATGTTTTAAAACTTTATTCAGAAGATGTCATGTCTTTTCTTCTAAAAATTTTTTTTTTTTTTTTTTGGTTTTATAGGAAAATGATGTGGAACCATATGCCATCTTTGTGCAAGTGGAAAATNCCCTGAGTCCCCTCCGGGGGAAAAGGGCGGCATATAAGTGCAATAAATTCAAATTCAATTCAAATGTTTCTGAATGCTACTTGATAAATCAATAATTTATTCAGTTTTGTAGTATAACTTTGACATTATAGTAAAGAGTATAAATTTATGCTTTCATATTGTAAGTTTTATAGGGCTATCCCTATCAGGAGAAATTGTTCAAAAGGGTATGATATTGTACAAACATTTTATTTAGATCAAAGATGTTCTTCAAGGGTGCTATTCTCTTTGTAGGAAGTAATGCAAAATTTATTAATTCTGTGGGCCAAGCATTATGTTATATGTTAAATCATCTTTTCCTTTGTTAAAATAGTTATTGAGTCAACCATGCTATGGAAAAAAGTAGGAATAACAGAATTAGAAACGACCTTGGAGGTCTTCTAGTCCAACTTGTTTTTTAATTTATTTATTGATAAATGTATAAAGAATGTTTGTGAAAATGCTAGGAGAGTATTTATTGAATACATAGGCCACCAAATCATTCCAACATCCAATAGTTTACATTACAACAAAACAATACACAATAAAAACATCATTCAGAGTCAAAACCAAATAATAAAACAGCTGTGAGTAAAAAATAAGAAATTATGGCCTATCCTTTATAATACAAAGAACTAAAAAAGCCCTAAATTAATAGTTACAATAAAAATGAAAACATGTAATTAAAAAGGCGTGATGATGAAGGATTATGTCCCATAGACGCTCTGTATAACTTTAGCCTTTGGTGATTTTTGGAAAGCTATTGTGGAAGGCAACAGTCTTATTTTTGGAAAGAGGTTGCATCATTGATAAACAACACTTTCTAGCCACAGCTGTCCTGACATCATGAAAACAAATGTGTGTGTTCTCTTATATGAAGATGATATGTTTGCTACTGAAAATCTGAATGATATTTAGGAAATGTTAGACACATTGTATAATGCCACAAGCATGAATCTCAAAATCAATGTATCAAAGGCAGTTGTCTTTTGATGGGAAATGTGAAATGAAACTTGGAAGTTATATATGCGTAAATGATGAAAAATTAGTTATGTGGTAAAACTAGAAGATGTAATATCATTAATAAATGTGTGCTAAACAATTCAAAAGTGAGTGATCAATGCAAAAGAAGTACATTCAAGTGGTTTGGCCATATAAAGGGATTGAATGATAATTGAACTTGAAAGCAAACAAATGAGGGAAGAATGAATGGATTGAGAAAAAGGGCTGAACCATGGTTGGATAGAGTGAGTGAGATCCTCAGAAAAAGAGGAGTGAGGAGGCTAATGTACAAAATGGCAGTGAATAAATCAGTGAATCAATGTGATAAAACAAGCGTGATTTGCAGGCGTAGAAAAGTAGAGAGAAGTATAGTGAATGGTTTGAGGTAAATTCAATTTAGTTTGGCTTCTGTTTCTTTTCTTTTTTCTTTTTAGTACTTTTAATATTTTCTATTTTTTGCATAATTTAGTTTATACTGATAGGGTATAACACATTGGGTTCTCAGAGGTTACTCTAGGATTAGGCCATTTGTTAACCATTGTTTTTAATGTGTTGCTAGGCACTGAGAATTTCATTTGTTAAATGGGTGGCCATATAAATCAATTTAACAAACAAGGAAATAAATATTGGCCTATTGGTACTTTTTTGTGAGTAAATCTTGCTATGCTAGTAGCAAAATCATCTTTTAAAATTATCTTTTTGGGTACCAGGCCAAGGTACTCTGCAACATCTCTCTTACCTTGCCTGTTTACCTATAATAATTGTATGTATGTATGTGTATATATAAGTTTATAACATTCAAAGAGAATATTTGGGAAATATTAGGGAAGTTAGGGAAGGAAAAAGGGAAGTGAATAGTGGGGAAAAGAAAGAGAAAAAGGAAAAAAAGGCATTGACTTCCGACTCCTTTGGTGCAGTTGAATAAGGCATTAAGATCTATGCTCAACTTTTTACTTTGTTATAATAATTCTAGAAATTAGCCATTTCTGTAACAACAAATCTATCTCACTGGTAAAACCCAAGATCAAAATTTCATCTTTTTCCACCTCAAGCACAGAAGTGGTAAAGTTATTTATGTTTTTTTCTTTAATCAAAGCAGTCAATTTAGCTAAGTCCATCAGTTTTTGCAGCCATTCATCCATTGCAGGGTTCGCAGTGACCTTCCATTTCTGTGCGTAGTCTTGCTGCCGTTAGCATATATAACATCAATTTCCCCCCAAGTTTTGTTCCATTAAGAATTAAAGAAAAGTTTCTGTTTTTTTCTATATTCACTTTAATAATTTTCTGTATTAAGATATGAATCCTACTCCAATATTTCTTTGCCTTATCATATGTCCACCATAGATAATAAAAAGTCCTTTCTTTACATATACATTTCCAGCATTCATTTGACAATTCTTGACAATTTATCTGGAGTTAAATACCAACGGTACATCATCTGATTAAAAATTATTTTAAATTATAGCTTAATGTAAACTTTAAACCTTTATTTCACATATTCTCCCACTGTTCAAGCATTACATTATATCCAAAATTCCTTGCCCTCTGAATCATACAATGCTTTACTTATTCATTTCCCAGATTTCCAATAACACTTTATAGACTTGCAATAATATGTTCATCACTACCACTCAGTAAAGTATCCAGTTCATTTTTAACAAAGTTAAACCCACGATTCTTTTTATCTAGTTTAAATCTTTCTTTCCATTGTAAGTATGTAAACCAATGACAAACATGACCTTCTTATTCTAACTCTTCCTTAGATTTGATGGTAGGATCTCCTAAATTAAAAGATATTATTTTACCATAGGTCCATCAATTTGCCTTGTCACCATTTATTTTCTAAAATGTGGGTTTCCTCCTGTGGGGAGGAGCATCTTCATGGACAACGGTGTTTACCTATAATAATTCTTGATAACATTTCTTTCTACATCTTTCTAGATAAATTCAGTAAATATGCAAAGCTTGGAACAGCCATTGAATTGCACTGTCCTCCAGAAAGATATAATCTGACAGTATGGAAGGTGAACTTTAACAATGGACAGCATTGCCATTTATCATTTAAGAGAGAGAACAATACCATAGCCAGAAACTGCAGTAAGGACTTTATAGATTGGGTATCTATACCAGAAGAAGATTCTGCTGTTCAGATAAAATCATTTCAAATGTCCCGTGAAGGAATATATAGATGTTTCATTGCTACTGCGAAAGGAACGTTAAACCATGAATATGAAGTATCTTTATCAGGTAAGAAACAATATATGATATTTAAAATCATTGTCTTGGATTTTTATAGTCAGAACTATTATATTTATTTTTCATACATTTATGTCATTTTGCAGGATATCTCAAAACAGTTTATAATATTAAAATGCAAACATAAAATATATTTTAATGATTAATACATTTGCTTGTGCTTGTAATATCCTGTTTTCATTAATGTGCTTAAGGCACCGTAGTGCCTTCAGCATTATTAATGTAAGATGGCACTTGGTAGACTTCCCTCAGGTGTTTCAACTGTCCTTCTTTACATTTATTGCTAATGTTTGCAGTCAGCTATCCCATTTCCTGGCATTTTCTAGAAAACTCTCACCATCCTTCTGCTTTCAGAAGTGGGGAGGAACTGCAGATTGTTACGAAGTATCAGCCAATTATTATCTTCATTTAAAACTTGCAAAATGTAGGAATTGCTCATTTTTGAAAACATAAAGAATTTGAAGTTCCATCTTCCATATTTTTCAAATGCCCACATATATATATATATATATATATATATATATATATATATATATATATATA